TTTTTATTTTTTTTTTACGTCATGCAAGTATACATTTATATACTTTTTAAAAATAAATAAAATACTGCCCTACAGCTTAGAGTATACATTTTCATTGTCAAAAGTTGAAACTGAATTTTAGTCTAGAGTCTAGACTAACAATATTTTTCTTTAAAAAAATGTGAGGCCCCAAGGAAAACTAAATAAACATTGCTATACTACATATTTCACACATTTTACAGCTAAAAGATCATTTCCTAACACTATTAAGCACTTTAAACATGTACAAAAATCACAGAGTAAGAGTGTGATGTGCAAACATACACAGTCTTTGATTTGCTATGTACAGTACATATGATGGGACAGGATGAAGAGGCATTCCATAGTTGAGGCCCGTTTTTGCACAAAAGTGTAAGTATTTACAAGGAGTAAATGATTTAACATAAAACATTAGGTCAGAGGCAATATAACATAATAGAAGAGTGCCATTATAGCAGCACTGATGATGCCAGAAATTGGCACGGTCACAAACCATGCAATAAAAATATTCCGGAACAGATGCCAATCAACGGCCTTCCTGGATCGGAGCCAGCCAACTGACACCACTGATCCAACCTGTTCATAAACACACAAACAAAAAGATAATAGAATTGGACATTTGTTATTACAAATTCTAACTGTATGGATTTAATCCACTAGTAAGTAATCCACCTTGCAATGAGTGGTGCTGACTGGGAGTCCGATGTTGGAAGCGACAACCACAGTTACAGCAGAGGCGAGCTCAATGCTAAATCCGCTGCGAGACAGACATGATGATTATAATAAGCTCTATAAGCATCCTTAAACACAGCAAAGGACTGTTTGAGTGGAAAAAGTCCTGTGGCATTGTCAAAATGTCAATACTAAAGACAAGACAAATGTGGCGCTTGAGGGACATTCCATGAGACAAGGAGTTAAACTGTTTGTTTACACTGCAAAGTCAACAGAGATAAGACAGTGGGAACCGGGCCCTTAATCCCCATGAGAACCGCGGTGATAAAACTGAACTATAAAGTCTGATCCCACAAATAAGCACTCTTATCAGTTTCTGCTCAGAGGAGGTACGAAACATCAGGGTATTAGATGCTTGTTACCTGGAGGGAGTGATGGGAGTCAGGTCTTTGCCCATGGTTTGTATGACCCGCCGACCCCAAATCCAAAGGCCTGTACAGATACCCACTCCACCATACAGGAGCAACCAAATTGGTGTAGGAGCACTGGGTGCTACAGAAGCACTTTCATAAATCAGCCAGAGTGCAACGAGAGGCCCAATCGCATTACTGTAAGAAAGGAATGATTAGCACTGTCCTCATTATAAAGCAATGTGGAAAAAGGTCAGAAATGCAAAATATACACTACCAAGTACACTTTAAGGGTTGGTAAGATGTTTTTATGTTTTTTAAATAAGTGTTTATCTTAATATATTTTCAAATGAAATTTATCCTGTGATGGCAAAGCTAAATTTTTTAGCAGCCATTACTCCAGTCTTCAATGTCACATTTCCTCAGAAATCATTCTAAAATGCTAATTTGGTTCTCAAGAGAATTTTTT